TTGAAGGACCTCAGTCGCCTCAAAAAATAGAGACGACTCTGGCCCTTCCTGTAAAGTGCTGTGGTGTTTTTAGCCCAGTCCAGTTTATTGTCAATGTATACTCCAAGGTATTTATAGTCCTCCACAATGTCAACAATAACCCCCTGGATTGAAACAGCGGTCAAGTGTTTCAATTGTTTTGAGTGCCATGTACCACATAAAGTTGGTTCAAGGTCAGTAAGCACAACCAGGACAACCAGAATTCATACATAAGGCACACTGTTGATTTTTGAGAAAATTTAAGTATTTTAAGTGCGCCTTATAGTGCGGAAAATGCAGTACATGCTGTTTTCATTACATCTACATGCAGCTCAATAGACAGGAATTGCTACAGACCAAAAAACTACCTGCAACATTTCTGTGGGGTGCTCTGTATCGTGGAATTGGTTTGTGACATTCCTCCTTTTTATTTGACAGGAGGAATGTCATGTGACGTGTGTCCTGATTTGAAGAGACATGCAAATATTTTCCATCTCTGATACACATGCAAGCCCAGTAACAAGTCTTTGACTGGAATGCACTTCAGCATATTTTGGGTAATTCAGTTTCTCAGAAACATCTTGAGGTGATGTCATACTTTATATTTCCAAAACAAACACTTTCTCTTAACCTATAATAGATTTGAAAAGGTGACAGGCTGTACATTCTGAATAGGTCATACTCAAGTTTAAAAAAAAAAAAAAAAATACTAAAGCTATTCTATTATACCTTTGTTCCAAAAATACACTGCACCCCAAATATTTCACAGTTCAGCAGTACTGATCTTTTTATTTAAACTTTTAGCAGAACGTTAAATCTAAAGTAGAATTTAAAAAGCAATTTAAATGGAATTTTAGAGATTTCAAAAACTGAAAAAAAGTTCCATATCAGCACAAAATAATGATTATATTTAAAAACTTAAAAAAGAAAAAAGACTGTAGAATGGACCCTTTTATACTTAAAGTTTAACATAAATAGACATCCAGAGTGGAAAGCAATGCAAATAAATGCAAACACGGCTTCATGACACTCATATTTTATCAAGATGGATGTCAGTGTGAGCTGTTTCTATCACATTTAACCTGAGACCGAATTTTTTGTAATTTTCATACAAAACTTAACACAAGTATGAAAAAAGTGTTTTTCATGTTTTTTTTTGTTTTTTTTTAACGACAAAACAGTTTAGCCTGCAACACTGCGTTTTGCAAAGTAAAACTTGAGTATCCATTGTAGAGTCAGACTTAGCCATGGCAACGCACAGATGTCCGAGCTCCATATATTGCTTGCAAAGCTTAATGTTGGAATGCTTTACAAACATTCAGAAATGAACACACTCGCTTTACTTCTTTGGGATAGCTTGAAATGCTTGTTTGGAAGCATGTAGCAAGCAAATGCTTTCAGTGTGAACTAACTCTAGACTTCCGACAGATTTCGCACACCACAGCCGCTACATGTCGCATACTGCTCCGATGTCCTAAGGTCATGAGGTTATGCCATGTCACATTTTTTTGAGCTGGTTTGTGATATTTAACCCTTTAAGACCTACCATAGAACCAAGTCCGCCAGAGCTTATATTATATTTTTACATGCT